ACAATTCTATTAAAGGCGGGGCAATTTTCAATAATATGCCTCGAAACACTGCCATGATATTCACAGTGTGTATTTTCGTCATACAACTTGGGTTATGAGGGATTTAGAGATTTCTATGGATATGGTGACACCACATGTGTGTCAAAAAGCTATTGATAAAGCTCCTTATATGTAATGAGAATGGGGTCGAAATGCTCTTTTCCCTTTTATCTCCTTGATTCGCTCGAATCTTGTCCAGAAGCACCTGACGGTACATCCCTTTTTGTCTTTCCTTGCAAAATGGTCATTTCTACCATTTTTGTTTTAACTTCCTCATCAAACTCTGGATTATTTTGAGGGTTGATTACAACGACTTGTGCTTTCACGGTAGATGAATCCCCTTAACATCCTGGTAAGATTCCAAGTGAAATAACCAACTGTGGAGTAAGTGGTACAACCATCCCCTCATATGCCCCTACCCCAGGAATATTCATTTTTAGGCAAGACAACTTTACAATGATTTGATCGACCAAATATTATTGGCTATTAGTGATTGATTCCAAAGTGCTTTGATTATTCAAACTTATTTTCTCTTCCAACTCCTTTTGCAACCTTAATATTTTCTCCTCGAGCTGGGCTATCTTTGGTTTTATCTTCTTCTTTTTTGAACAAGTGTTATGTGGATGAGGTGTTTCAATGCTTGGGGTGATACGTCCAGTGTTTGTTCCTTTTTTGATATGACATTTTCTGTTATATAATGTGAATATAAAGAAATGAAGAAAAAAAACAAATACAAAATATGTATAAATGTATGATGCATGAAATGTTCAAGGCATTGATCCAAAAACACGTCTATTATTATAAATAATCTTTATTGGGACAAAGTGTTATGTCTTAAGAGACAATAACATCTTAAAGGTACATTCTGACTAAGTCCTCTAGACCTCGAACAACTTCTAACAGATTAACCAATCTTCTTCCTTCATATGTCACCGGTTGAATATCCTATCAGACCACTCCAGTTTCTCTTGCTACACCGTGCAAGTGACGAGCTGCTTTTTGCACTTGTTCCAAGAAGTCTCGAATAACAACATCTCTGGCTTTCACTCTCTGCTGAGCCTGCTCCCAACGAAAACACAATTGAAAACCTCTATCGAAGGGAACTATCTGAAGCTCACTTGCTTAAAATCGTTCACAGTGACCTTTAACTCGCTATGGTTTTGCCATCCTGTTCTTGTTGTCTTTGAAGGTACCTCTCCAGGTTCGTAACCTTTTTCTCATCTACCCTTGTAACCTTTGCCAACCACTTTTTGAAAAGTTGACTTTTGATGTGCTTGGTGTAAACCCAATCCATTCTGATTCCTTCATAATGCATAAAAGTGGTATGCTCTTCGATTGTGGGTACCATGTCTTCTTGATTAAATATGAAACAACCATACCCTGGATTTTAGAATTGCATTAAGGTTCAAATTAGGGACTCATCTATCTTGACGTAGAGTAGAAGTGCGATATCGCCATACCGTTGGAAGGATTTCCATTTCTGGTCGCTTTTCCAGCTGTCCCAAATGCTCCGCAGTTCTTGAACATTGTTTTGGTTAAGGCTGATAAAAGCATAGCTAACCCAATCTGACACATAGTTGCCTTGCAAACTATCTTTCTTTTCCTTTTTGGGTCTTTTCTTACAATAGTCGGACCTCTGTGATTTTCACCTCTTGCATTACAACCACTTTGTCTATTAATGCAAACTATTTATGTTTAACGAACACGTTTTTGTGGATCAACACCTCTTTTGAATGATGTAAATGATAAAAAATAAAATAAAAGAAAACAAAAATGAAAGGAAAAAGTTAGTGAGATAAGGATAATAAAAAATGAAAATAAAAAGTCCTATCCCACATGATATCTATCCCACAAGTTTATTATTCCTATGCGGGCATGATCTTTATCATGCATGTTGATTTTGATCAAGTCCTAACCACATAAACTTCTGTTTCAAATCATGTGAAATAATTGAAAAACACAACAAGATTAAAATAAATACAAGAGCTAAATACAACATTATTAAAAGTAAAAATAAAATAGAATAAAACTAAATAAAATTAGGAAAAATAAAAAATTTAAATTTTTTTAAAAAAGAAATATTTAAAAAGAGTAAAATGTTTGAAAAAAGAATGCTAAAAAATGAAGAAAAATAAACAAATGAAAAAAGGACCAAATTGAATCAAATATATTTATGGTTCAAATTATAAAATGATCTTCCAAAGAAAAACAAAAATAGTCAGGGGATTAAATCGTGAAATAAAATAAATATAATGAAGGATTAAATTGAAATAGCTGAATATTAGGATGCAAAATTGAAACATGTGATCGAAATAAATTACACTTCAAAAGTCCAGGGATTGCAGAAATAATTTAACTATCTCCTAATTACAACCTAGTCCCCCTATAAATACCCCCAAAACACAAAAAAACATTTCCATCATTTCCACCAAAACTCTTCCCTCTCATCTCTTAAAAACCTCTCGATATCTCTCTTCCCCGGCCGAACAATCAGTCCCTCACCACCGTAGCTCTACCCCGCACGGTGGCTGAAAACCCTAAAGGTACCCAAAACAGTCCCCTCATTATCCTAAAGCTAACCCCAAGCCTCGATTTCCCAACTAAGACCTCAAACGACGTATATCTAAAGAAAATCGTTCGGTTTTTTACCTTGGTTCGGTGGTGACTTTGTTTTCCGACGAGCTTTCACGATACAAGGCCTTCGGCTTTTAGTGTTTCCTTCGATTTCTTGGTGTCGTGTGTTTCTTTCGTGTTTTACAGGGGCTTTTATAGCCATGCTCGGAATGATTTTCCGGGGTTAATACCGTTTGCTTCGGGGGTCATTTACCCTATTTCTCGATTTATTCGAGGTTTCAGTTTCAGTTTCCTTACGTTAGTTTGTTGGTTAGGGTTTTAGGGATGGTCTAGTCCCTATTCTTGGCCAATTACTATTCTGATTTCTTGTTCAAGGGCCGAGAAAATCGACCGGTGATTGATATGCCTTCGGGCGCGTGGCTCCACGCGTGCTCCCTTACGACGGCATTGGCTTAGTGTGAAACCATAATTTAAGATTATGGGATGGGTCAGGCCCACCTAATTAGGCTTACCCGATTGGGCTTCCTGCTAGACTTTAACTTTAGACTTGTTGGACCTAATCACAAAAGAAAATAAATAAAAAGAAAAATAAGTAATAAATAAATATATAGTAAATAATATATATAATACTACAATATAATATATGTAAAAAAACTATAAAATATATACTTTTCAAAATGTTTTCAAAAAACTATATATTATATATGTTTTCAAAATGTTTTTAAAAACTATATATTATATATATTTTAAAATGTTTTCAAAAACTATATCTTATATATATTTTCAAAATGTTTTCAAAAACTATATATTATATATATGTTTTCAAAATGTTTTCAAAAACTATATATTATATATATGTTTTCAAAATGTTTTTAAAAAACTATATATTATATAAATTTTTTCAAAATGTTTTCAAAAACTATATATTATATATATTTTCAAAAACTATATATTATATATATGTTTTCAAAATATTTTCAAAAACTATATACTATATATATAGTTTCAAAATGTTTTCAAAAATTATATACTATATATATGTTTTCAAAATGTTTTCAAAAACTCTATACTATATATATGTTTTTAAAATATTTTCAAAAATTATATATTAAATAATTTTCAAAAAAAAAATTATGTACATTATTAAATAAAATTCCGGGCGAAAATGAGTGACTACACATTGCATTACTTATCTTCATAGTGAATCGTCTATTATGGTCGTTGAATTGGAGCTTTTCATTTCATTGTGAGATTTCAAAAGGAATATGGGATTCATATGTGTAAAGAATTTTTTTTAATCTAACTAGCATTGAAATCTTAGTAGAACATCTCAGTTTTGATACCTCTGAGAGAGTCTCCAATCGAGTTTGAGTTTCTTCTTTCATCAGTTTTTTTTTCTTTGTGAATGCCTCTGAACATTGTTGAGCATCTGAATTTTGTTTACATGGTTGAGAAACCCTCGTTTCTATATAAAAATCTTTCTATATTGGGATCTGATAAATCCAAAAAGAGTTATTTATATCTGGGTCCGAATATAAATTTTAATTTGACAAAAATTCATATTCATATTTAAATTTAATATTTTATGATTTTGTACAACATATTCTATACTTCTAGTATATATACTTACCGGAAAAATGAGATTTATATTTAATATTTTTATTTATGGAAGATAAACTGTTAAGTTTGTACCTTCTTTCTCATGTGCCTTATTTTTTTTACTGCCATACATTCAGCATATATGATAATAAGCTAACTCTTCTTCATGTTTGTATAAAAATTTGTTGGATGTAGAGCAAAGAATCGTGGTGGTCCTCGAGACATGAACCACATAATTATTTTATTTATCCAATTTGTTAGATGTAGATCGAATTCTTTTGCACACCCCATTTCTTATATATAAGTTGGGATTTGCATTCAATCAGTAATTCCTAACAAAGAGTTTACCAGCCGATGTAATTAAGGATCCTGTAGATATCCGTTTTTATCCGGATCTACAAAAATATTATATTATATTATTATTATTATTATTCATTTATATATTATAATTTTGCAGGCCCCATTTCCGTTGACATTTTCTCACGAACAAACTAACCACTCTACACACACCAGAACCATTAATATAACCAACATTAATGTAATTTTTAGCACAACAGCCTCGATTTCTCCATCCAAACACCTGCAAATTTAACTCATACCAGGGGTTCTTTTTGGATTACAGACCTGAAAGATAGCATTTGGGCATATAAATAGATCCGTGGCCGACAAACAAATCTCCGGCCAAGCATATTTACACCAGAAACCCACTTTTAAAGTTGTCGACCCAAATAATTGCTCCACGCTCCAGCACCTGTTATTAAACACCGTCTCATTCCGGCAGATCCAAAATGACCAATCATTCTGGGAGACATGCCCTCTTCCATGAACCAGAAACTCAAGCTTTAGTTTTTATTTTTTGTAATAGTTTTTTTGAAGAAGGTTTCGACTTTCTTTTTGGCTGGGGAAAAGCTTCAAAGTGTAAAAAGCTTATCAAACGTGTTCAGTGTCACTGGAAGCTGCTGAAGAACAAGAGGTTGACGATCGTGAAACAGCTGCGGGAGGATCTTGCTCAGCTCATCAAACTTGGCTATGAAAAAACTGCTTTTAATCGGGCTGAGCAGCTTGTTAAAGATGAGAATATAATGGCGGTCTATGATCTGTTGGATCACTTCTGTGAATTTATTTACGTTGAATTATCATATATTCGCAGACACAAGGACTGTCCTAATGATATCAATGAAGCAGTTTCGAGCCTTATATTCGCTTCTGCAAGATGTGCAGAACTTCCCGAGCTTCCGGTGATTCGGAAGCTCTTCGGGGAGCGTTACAATCATCGGTTTGCCAAGGCGGCATTTGAATTACTTCTTGGGAATCTGGTGAACCGTGGGATACAAGAGAAGCTGTCCGTAAAATCAGTTTTGTATGATGTGAAGAACAGATCGATCGATGAAATAGTCCGAGATTACTGCCTACAGCCTGAAATTTTGGCACTCGCATACTTCCCCGAATTGCAACGCCGGATAACAGATGTTATGTCAGCTTATGATCCATCTTATCGCGCCTTGCATATACCAAGTGAAAATGGAGCAGTTGAAGATGATGACGATGAAAAGCCTGATGCTGAACTAGGTTCTGCTAGCAAGAAAAGAAGAGTACTAAATTAAACACCAAAACCCAAACCAAGGAATCGGAGGTATTTGCTTCGTGTTCCTTCTCCAGCCTTGGCCTCCACTCCACTCTTTCTGACCAGCTACGAGAAAGAAACGGGTTCTGGAAAAACAATAGCATATTTGGCTCCTATAGTTCATCACTTACAGGGTTACAGTCCCCGAATTGAGCGCTCTCACGGTACTTTTGGTATGTTTTATGCTTTTAATGGGAATTAGTCTATTATTTTTTAGAATGAATAATTTAAAATATTTCCGTTCTGTTTGTTTAAGCATGAATAAAATAAATTTTGATATGTTTGTGACAGCGTTGGTCCTTGTACCAACGAGAGAGTTATTTAATATTTTTTTATTTTGTTTTATTTTATTTATTTTTTATTTTTTCTCTTTGATTTATTTAACATTTATTTATTATTTATTATCTAACATTTTCGATTTTTTAAAATAAATTTCAACCAATCAAAGATAAGTAATTTGAATAGAATTTTTTAAGATTTAAATTTTAATTTTCGCTATTAAGACAACCGACAAATTAATTGATACCGAAAGGGTAGTATAAGGGTGCTAATCATTCCTTGACTATAGTTGACTCTCGAATCCGACATATTTCTGGTAAAACGCAGATCATGTAAGATGGTGTCCGATTAACTAATTTTTTTTTATAAAATAAATGATCGATGACGGCTCCAACCTATTTATTCACATCGAAGCCCAATTTGAGACCCACCTGAAAGACAGTTCCGACAGATCCAAACGAATTGATCGAGATAAAATCAAGAGAGCTATCTCCATTTTAATTTCTTATTTGATGAACTCAATGAATCATTTATATTAAGTTCTTGAATGTTATTGAACATATATGAAATTTAGATCTATTTACTAATGCAATTACTCTTTCTATTCGGTAACAAATCTTCGATTTTATGTGCTTGAGTTTATTGCCTTCTAAATATTGAGATATATTGGAAATAGTAACTATGGTATCAAGAAGGTTGTGGGTGCATCGTTAAGGGTTACCCGCAAGATTGCAACGAGAGTTGAGAGTTCATTATAAGAGATCGAGTGCTTATAGATCTAGAACCTCTTACGTCAGATATAGAGGCGGAACACAAGCTGTATTAGTGGGGCCATGACCCCAAATTTTTAAAAATTCATATTAAACTTTAAAATTCTTTAATATTATTAGTTAAACTCCTCTTATAATATTTAAATTTTTTCATTAAGTATCATCATTTTTTAAAAAATAATTAGACCCTAATTATTTTGGAAAAAATGCAAACTAAACCCTTCAAAATTTTTGAAAATTTTAATTTAAAACTCTTAATTTTTTAATGTTGATCAGATAGTAGAAATTATACAGAGATATTAATACTTCAAGTTATCTAACAAATGTACTTACACAGAACACCCAAACCAATGTGGAAAGACTATTGAATGCATTAAACTTTTGTGTGCAGGATGTAATTCCTAGCTCGAGCCGAACAAAACAGACCCACAACACTGAAATACAAACTAACAAATGTACTTACACAGAACACCCAAACCAATATCGGTCCTTCTACTTCTTCAAATGTGTTTCCAGCCACTACAGGGGGACTTTCTCTTTCACATCCTTCAGCAGATACTCCATACACAAGTCTGGGTTTCGGCAAATGCTCCCGGGAATCTCCGGTATCCCTGGTTACCAGGAACTGATCCTGAAAAATCATTATATGACAAATTCAAGAGTTTCAAGTCTTTCAGGGTTGAGTTGTTTCCAGGGATTTGGCCAGATAAGGAATTATGTGACAAATCCAAGGCCCTTAAGTTTCACATTTTCTCCAAACTTGGAAGTTCTCCGTCGAGATAGTTATGAGATAAGTTTAGATATTCCAGTCCTACTTCAAAGAGAACATCTGGAATCTCACCCCGTAACAAAATATCTGACAAGTCAATTCCAAACGTTGAGGACACTTTGAAGTTGAAGCTTAATACATTAGTCTCGGTGACCATGGCGGAAACTTTAATCTCGACATTTCTGATTGAAGTAAACGGCTCATTAGGTCCTCTGTCGCTGTTTCCATTGTTATTGTGGAAGCTAATATTAAAGTTACCATCTGGTATGAAACCAGAGAATTTGTTCCTGGAGAAATCAATCATCTGGATTGCTTCAAATGTGAATAGCCAGCTGGGTAGATTCCCACTGAATTTGTTATGAGCTAGGGAAAGATACTTCAGGTTCAACTATTTGGTTATCGCATCATTCAACGTTCCGGAGAAGTTGTTGGAGCTCAAATCGACGATCTCTAGTGATTTTAACCCTGCCAAGGTCAGTGGGATTTCACCAGAAATCTTGTTGTGGCTTACATCCAATATCTTCAAGCTATCCAGTGCATCGAGCTCGGGTTGAATTTCACCAGAAAGATTGTTGTTGTTCAGTATCAATGCAAGTAACTGAAAGCACCCAACAATATCTAATGGAATCAAACTCGACAAGGAGTTGTGCAACAAATCAATCACTTGGAGATGTGTCAAATTTCCAATCCTAGCGGGAATTTCCCCCGTGAGGAGATTATGAGAAAGAAACAATGCTTGCAAGCTCTTCAGCTCAGTGATCTTCAATGGGATCCTACCGGAAAACTTGCTGTGAGAGAGGTCCAGAAGAAGAAGGCCTGATTTTTCTGTTGCCGCTGCAATTTTCCCCGGTAGAGGGCCTGACAAATCATTGAAACTCAAATCCAATACAAGCAACTTTTCAGTAAACACAAGTCTCGGAGATAAACCATAACTCAGGTGATTAAACGAGAGATTAAGATGTGCCAATGCTTCCAGTGAGCCAATACAAGTAGGTATCCCTCCAACAAGAGAATTATTAGCCATTGACAGAACAGTAAGACTCTTTGTAGCAGCAGAAAAACAAGGCAAAGTACCAAAGAACTTATTCGAAGCAAGACTAAGATACTCCAACGATTGAAAAAACTCATGAACATTGCCTGATAAATTATTGTCTCCGAGATCCAAATGCCTCAAAGACTTCAAATGAAATAACCGGTCAGGTACCTTCCCATGAAACGAATTTGAACTCAAATCAAGTTTCTCCAAATTGCTCGAGAAGTTACCAATCCACCGTGGCAAAACGCCACGGAGTCCTCGGTTTCCACTCAACACAAGTTCCCTCAATTGCCCAAGTCTCATGATATCATCAGGTACAACTCCACCAAAGCTATTGCCACTAAGATCAAGAATCTTAAGACTACCCAATGAACCAAAACATGTCGGGATTGTGCCATTGAAATTATTATCAGACAATTTCAAATACTCAAGAAATGACAGTTCACACAAACTAGGGTGCAATCTACCAGACAAGTTCATATTAGTCAGGTTCACAGAAACAACATGACCAGTCCGCTTTTCGCAAGAAATACCGGTCCAACCAGTGCAGTTTGACCCAAACCAGGTGGCTAAGCTCTGTTCAGGGTTTGAACCGATGACCTAAACAATAACAGTGTGAGGCTTTGTCGTCAGGGTCAAGATCAAAACACTGAGATGGGTTAAAGGAACAGAGAGAGAAATATTAGCAAAAGCAAGAGTGGCAGTGCAGGTAATTTCGAGGATGCCCGGGGTTGAAAATCAGGGAAATCCGGTTCGAGTTCCATGAGTGAATCAAACTCAAAACAGAGACTAAAATGGCGAAATATGTACAGATTGAAGCCAAAATACAAAACCCATTTCTTATTATGCCTAAATGTTTGAAGCCATAAACAAAAAACTCAAAAGAGTAATGAACAGCACAGTAAATAGGGACGAAATCTTGAACCCTAGCTGTTTGTTTCTCGGGAAATTTAAGAAGCCAGAAACTGGTGAGAAAGAATGAGAGATGAATGAGAGATGAATGAGAGATACTTACTAGAGAAAGTGGAGAACTTTAGCAGATAAGCGGAGTGAGCACAGAGAGAAGCGAGAGAGGAATAATTTAGTAATTAGGCAAACATTCTCTTGCTTTATTCTTTTTAAAGCAAAGTCCACTTCTCATTATTACATCTTTATTCTTTTTGAGTAAACTACATGTTTAGTAATGTAACTATCACTTTATTTTTGTTTTGGTCATCAAAATATTTTTTTTTAAACTTATACCTAACGTTTAGTTTTGGTTTTATTTTTGTCACATACTCTTAAAAATTAACGATTTTTCTGATGTATCACCATAAGGTAATACCACGTCATCATTGAAAAAAAAAAACATCACTCTAGTAGTTCTGTTAATTTCGTAAAGGTAGATAACCAAAATGATATCAAAACCTAACGTTAGGTATGATTTTGAGAAAAAATAATTAGTGACCAAAGTGAAATAAAAGCGATAGTTAAAATACTAAACTTACAATTTACCCTTCCTTTTAAGTAAAGTCCACTTCTTTATTTCTTGTTATTACATTTCTGATAAATTTCTTATTATTACATCTTTATTCTTTTACAGGAATCCAGTGCATTTATGGACTCAATTTTGGCTAATAAACTAGAATCCAATTACATTTAAATATATGGAAAATTTTGCAGCAGCACAATAAAATATACTATTAAGGCGATACACTCAAATATATCAGTAAATAACTTATTATTATTAAGTAAATATTAAAAAGTATAATAATTTATCACAAACAGTATTTAAAAAATTATTATTATTTGTAGAAGTTTCAGGTTCGAACATTAGAAATTGTAGGATAATTAAACGTTTATTGCCAAATAACTAAGAGTCTTTAGAACATATATTATCACTTGTAAACACCCTCAATTAATGAAAAAAAAAGTATAATAGTTTATCTAAAATGAATCATTTTTTAAAATTTAATTTTAATTCTAATATAATTATAATTAAATTATGATTTTTTTAAAAAATAATAATTAATTTAAGAAGTTTAATTGGTTTATAATTAAATTTTTTAACTTATATAAGTTTAGGGTTCATGACATATTAACCCATCAAACACCATCATCGGTTGTCGATGCCACTGTGTCTCGGC